GAATTATTCCTTTTGCATGCCTCTCCTAGTCAGAAATGGGAGACCTGTGGCAGAAACCCTTGCAATCATTCAAGCCCAGTTCCAGTTGAATTTTACTTTTTAGCATCTGTAAGCAACTCTGATGCTATATTTTTAAAAAATGTCTGAAAAAACACACAGAATTATCAATTATAATAATGGTAAATACTGAGGCTAGTTTCTTATCACACCAGAAACAAGACAGCTTCTGAAATTTTGCCATGAATAATTCTGTATAGTTTTATTTTTTTAACCTGTTTGATTAATTTACTGAAAGCTGGTAAATTATGAGGTAGCTGTCCTGCTATTTTTTAAATTTGTGCTAGTGCTCTTTCACTCTTTTTAAATTTTAAAAACTTTCATTTTACAAGTTTTAACATTTGTTTGATATTCATTTAGAAAGGTGACACTGAACCATAAATAAAATGTAAACAAAACTATCCATTTTACAGGCTTTTCACACAAGAATGTAATCTTCTGTGTTTTGGTTATAATTGGATAGCTCTGTGTTTTGGTTATAATTGGATAGCTCTGTGTTTTGGTTATAATTGGATTTAAAAAGATGTTTCGCCTTATAGCACCTAATAAAATTTACAACAGTAAACAGTTTTCAGTTTTTAACTGTATTGCTTTTATACATATATAGCCAAAAAGGTGGTATAAGATTTTTAAAATTTTGTTGGTAAAAAGTGAAGTGAATTTTAGAAACTATATAAGCCACCTCTCCAGAGACCAGCTTAAGGCAGATCACATGATGCTGAAAATACTGTATTTGTTTTGAATTGAGTCTCTTCCTCAACAAAAAAAAAATTGGGGGCTAGTTCACAGACCCAAAGAAAATCTGACAAGACCTATTCTACATAATAGAATAAGCGGTCACAAATCTAACGGAAACACTCAAATAAACAAGTGTTACAATCTCCCTGCACTTCAGTAACAGACTTAAAAGTAATCATACTTCAACAAAAGCAAAAAATGTAAAGGAAGAATTCAGTGTGAGGATGTAAAACTGGAATTTTTAATGTACATCTCACACATCAGTATTTGTTTTATTTATTTACATGGGATTTATATACCGCTCATGTCCCCTAATGGGTCTCAGAGCGGTTTACAGTCAACTACAATGTAGTAGTTAATACCTAACTAGGGCCACAATTCTCTTGGGGAAGGGATACCCTACCAGCACCCCCGTGGCTTAGTCCTTCTTCCTTTTTCCGGCGGCCTCGTTGTTCTCTTTGTCGGCAATCCAGATGGCTGGCGACCAGGTTCGAGCAGGCTCTTTTTGATGATTTCTTCTCCTTCGGAGCGATGCTGCTTTCGGGCGCAGCTTTCCGGCAATGTCCCATCGGCTCCTGCCGTGCTACGTCCCACGTCACGACGTCGCTCCGGCTCCGCCTCCACTCGAATCGGTCGCTGCCTTCCTGGATCGTTCGATTCTCTCCGCCGCATTTCTCTTCTCGCCGCCGCTGCCTCTCGTCTCTCTCATCTTTCTCCGCCGCCGCCAACCACACTCCCGGCACAGAGCCAGGAGGAGGGTGCCCCCTGCCACCAAGGGCAGGTACCCATTCCTGTTATTACTAGAGCCGCTGGGTTGGCGGGATTTGCCTTCACAGGGAATGGCTAGCTCACTAGAGCAAGTAATTGCCCCTTGTTTGACAGTGATACAAATTATTCAGCTTGGGAGTGGGCCACACCCTCACTGAGGCAACCATTTATTCTGTTAACTGGATTTGTTTTCATTTGTGCAGAATGTAACAGTAACTATTCCATAATTCTTTGACCTTCTGGCTTCATTTTGTAATAACTGTTTCCTGCCCCTCCCACCTTTCTTCTCTTGTTTGTGTGTACACGTGCATGCACCACTTATCAACTTAGGATAACATTGCATGTATATGACCCATGAAAGCTTATGTTACAATTGGTTTATCAGGGATGGATCTAAAGTTTGGTTTCTGTTAACTCTCCTCTTCTCCTGCTGTCCACAGATCTCTTTGAAATGCTGAGACGTCCGGTTTCGGCGACTTGCTGGTGGGTGCGTTGCATCGAAGGTCTGATGAGAGCGGCCTGTGATCGCGCTGGACGGGAGGGGTCCTGGACGATTCCGGGTACCCCCAGAGCCCTTGGAGGGGGCTCGTAGCCTGGGGCACAAGGGGTGCCTCTCCTGAGGCAAACGCGAAGGATCAAGTATCCTCTTTGCCCCGATAGATCCCGCCACCGCGAAACCAGCCATGGCACCAAAGGTGCACACTGGAGCGAGTGCACAAGAGATCTGGCGATGGGAGACTTTCCCTAACCTCTGAAGTAAGCGTGGAGCAAAGCGTGAGTTGATACTCGCTTTAACGAAGCAAGCACCCAGGCGTAAATCGCAAAAGCCGCCTTGAAGCCCCAAATGTAGCGAAGGGGGAGGAGTTAATCCCACCCTGAGAAGAACAGCCTATGTAAGGTAGAAAACGAGGGGCAAAGGGACTGTCACGATGGAAGAACGATAATCCAGCCGAGTGGGGTGCAGATTAGTAAGAAACATGCAATTTACAGACCTTCAGAGACTTTAAAGAACTTTTGCTTTTAATGTAAACATGTCGCATTGGGCTGAAAAAATGGCGTCCAGGGTGAAACCTTCTTCAGGAACTACCAGCTCATTGACTCCGGTCTCCAGACTGGAAGTAACCACAGATTTCCCCAAGATGATTGCTGCAGCACTGCCCCCTCTGCTGGATCAGATGACTAACCTCAACAACAACTTTGATGCTCGTCAAAAGGAACTGAAGGAAACTAGCATAAGAGCAGAGAAGACAGTTAAAAAGCTGAAAAAGGTTGATAAGACAAACGCGTTAAACCAAAGACTAGAGGTAGTGGGGAAAAAGAAGACCTCCAAGAAACAGCTGTTACAATTGCAGATGGAAAAGTCGTCATATGTCTTGAGATTTCAAGGAATTCCAGACAAAAAAGGAGAGAACCTGAAAGAGATCTTAAGCGAAGCCCTCGCTTCAGTGGCAGAATGTAAAGAGGAATCTTTACAAAGCGATATGGATATGGTATACCAAACCTATCCAGAATTTAAGAAGAGGGAGTAAAGTGTGGAGATGCTAAATTTTTCTTAAGGACTGTGATTATGTGTGTTATAGCTTTGGAATTACTCTCTGTTCAGTCAGATAAGCAGGTTTTGTCAGCAGAAGCGATGATTGGCGGGCACTCTTCATGTTTGAAAGCAAATGTATAAGAGTAACAACTATGTTTTAAGCATTGTAAAACCTCCATTCTTGGGTTTTTAGTTAGGTTTTCTTTACTTTTTCCTATAGATTGTAGACTCTCTCTCCCCAATTTCTGTTGTAGTTTTATAGAAATGCAAATAAAAAATTCCCCCTCGGGGGGACTTAAAAAAACAAAATAGAATTTATTAAGAAAAATAAGCTGCCTGGTGAAGTGTTGGTGAAATTTTCTAAAAGAGATATACTGAAAGCGACTAATGGAATAACCTTAAAAATCAAAGGAAAAGAAGCGAAAGTTTTAAAAGATGTTCCATTTGAGGTGAGAAAGAGGAGGAAGCTATATAGAAACCTGACACTATTTCTAAAGAAAAACTCCACTCCCTACAGATAGATAATACCAGAAGAACTTATCTTCAACTTTAAAGAGAAAAAAGAAAAGATTGATTCTGTCGCAAAAGCATTTTTGGAACAGCACCAAAGTTCAGCGGAAGGAAAAGGAAAAGCAGAGGACAATAACATCGTAGAAGATAACAGCAAACACGGATCCAGAAGCAATAGTAGTTCATCGTGTAGTTCTTTTCTTCAGAAGGAACTCTGGACTCTGAATCAGAATTAGGAGAAGCAGCTCCTAGACCTCTTAAAATTAAACTGCCTTTTGATAAAAACAAACGTAGAGGAAAGAAAACCGATAGTTTAACTCTGAATATATTGCTTTTTCAATTAATATTTGAAATACTAAGATGCACTCACTATGGCTAGTTAAGTTTGTATTTGTTTGAATTAACAATATTAATAGCTAATCTCCATTTAAAAACTAAATAGGAAATACCCAGAAACTGACATAGATTGTTATATGATCCTTGCTTACTCTGTATTTTAGTTTAGAATATCCCTTACCTTTATTCTTTGTAGTGTGCAGAGTTTAAAAGCAATAAAAAATGTCAAAAAGAAAAAGATCTCTTTGAAATGCTGTCCTGGGAGCAGAGGTTCCTCAGAAACAGCACAAGAGACTAATGGATGTTGATGTTGGATGCAACCATTAGTCTTTAAGGAGCCAGACTTTTTACACTGGGTACAAAAGTTCCATTGTGCCACAGGGTGGTTTCTCTTTGGAGGAAGATGTGAATTCTACTAGCAGAAGGCTCCGTGTGGCAGGATCTAACACCAGTATAGTGAAACATTTGGATCCAACCATTTGTTGTTTTACCTCCCTTAGCTTCCCTCTTCTACAACTCTTGTGTTCTACAAAGTCACCGTTACTTCAGTTTTCTCCCCTCCTCTCCTTCAGTCCTTAAAGATCTCTTTCATAACTGAGAAATCCCACATTTTTTACCACACTCAAAGCCCCACCACTCGTTACCTTTCACAGAAGATGACTACCTTCCATACAGGAAAAAGCATAAACCACATGATTCAAGCCAACCATTTTGTTGTGGACAAACAATATGGAAATTACCACTGATTTCTGTTTTTCAGTTTGGGTAGCCATAGAGAAATGTATTTGTAATAACTAGACATAGTGAACTACACATATTAAGTAGTTTGCTCTACACAGAAGTGCTTTTGATGTAGGAAAACTGTAATGTGTAAATCATCCCTCAGATGAGAAAATATCTAGAATGAAATGATTTTAAAACTGAGCTTCAAGAGTACTTCACTAAATCTATCTATAATAAAAGTCCCTATTCTTTTCTACATAGTGAAGAGGTCAAGGCTTTTATTCAATTACTTGAATTCTGGAACTAAAAGATCTTTAGGCACATCTTTACATACCTATACTGTCTGGAAGGTCCAAGAGTTCATTGTGCTGTAGGTCAAGTTTAGTGATCTGTGTGCAATTTCCAATCTCCTTTGGAAGATGTTCAAGCTGATTGTGTGCTACATCCAGCGTTATGAGGTTACACAACTCACCTGAAAATGACCAAGAAACATAGCATGAGAAAATAGTTATTCTTCTTAGGACTGTACACTGAATACAAGTGCAAATAATATAACTATTGAAAAGCAACCAGTGAATCCCATCCATACCTTCAAAATCACAAATGAAGCATTTCAACAACAGTCTGACTCTGCTTTGCTCAATGAGACTATTAGACTCCAGGTTTAATGTAAACATTGCACAGAAGGAAAGCTTTGTGCCATCACCCACCTATTAGGCTGCTTCATCTTTTTCTAACTCCTGAATTTTCCTTAACCTATTAATATTCCAAGTACTAAGTTCCAACCCTACATTTCTGTTTTATTTAACTTATCTAGTAAAGTAATAAGAGATCCAACAATCACTTGATGCCAGTATTTTTGCTATGAGATGAACCAGTATTTTTCTAGTTGCCATGTGTGTGGACTTTCAGAAGTGCTGTGTAAACAGATAAAGGACTGTGAAAAGTTTATCCTTCAAAGAGCCAGAGAGCCTCGAATGACAGGCTGTTCCAAGAAATGTGATTGGTTACCATCGTGTGTGTGTGTGTGTGTGTGTGTGTGTGAGAGAGAGAGAGAGAGAGAGAGAGAGAGACAGAGACAGAGACAGAGAGACAGAGACAGAGACAGTCAGAGACAGACAGACAGACAGACAGACAGAGAGAGAGAGAGAGAGAGAGAGAGAGAGAGAGAGAGAGAGAGAGAGAGAGAGAGAGAGAGAGATATTTTTAAACTGTTCTATCACACTGCAGTGGTCTATGGCTGGTTCTATTTTAATAATCTATTCACACTATGATTACATAGTCAATTGATAAATTAAGTTTTTTAGGCCTGAAAATAAAAAGTTTTAGCCGTAACTGAAATACAAATAAATAACATTCTACCAAGAGACAGCTTATTTGACACAGAGCATAAGCAGCTATTTGTATCTAATTTATTTTTTCCTAAGCGTAAATAAAAGCAGACTGCTTAACAGAGTCATTTAGAGAAGGAATAATCTCCTGTTTTTCACTCATTTTATAGCCCTCCTAAGGTCCAGTAGCACTCACTAAACGGGAGGAGGGACATGTACACAAACTTTGGGTTCCTTTTTCCTTTCAATATTTTCAATTTTAGATTAAGTAAATTTATTGTGGTGTTAACACTCGAGTGTAAATTTCCATCATTAGACATAAACTGGATCAAAAATAAAAACCCAGCCTAAGATATTAACTCCATATACTTACAACTGAATGTTAAAAGCCTCTTATAATATTGTGTAGAAAAACCATCTGGCAAAGTAATGGAGAAAAATATTCTGCTGAGCACATGGGGCCCTTCTGTATCTCTCTATTTTGATATAATTGGAGGAGTGAGGGGAAAATGAAATCAAGATGCCTTTAAAAGTCAAGGAAACAAGCAAGTCTGCAAAAATACAGTTTATGATAATGTATTTAATGTCAGAACAAGTAAGGCACCACACCTCCCACCCTGCACAAAGAAGCCACTCATTTCTTCCTGGGTTAAAAAGGTCAGATTTCCTGACTTAAATGACTTTGACCAACTCACTTTTTTGGATGCCAGAATCACAAGATGAGATTATTTAAATACAGAGACAAATACAACTTCACTAAAACCATCAGGAACAAGTTTGTATGTATAACCATGTACACAGTCAGCACAGGAAATATCAATGTTTAGAATTCCTTCTTGCCACAATTCATGGCAGAAAATATTTGAGATTGCAATGCAGCATCTTCCACATGGGATTAATTCTCCTAACTGACTGTACTCTCTTGTTTAAGTAGACACATTTTTAAAATCCTTTACATCATGAGAAATACTGCATCAAATGGCAGAAAAGAATACAGAGCTTTTTGCTGGGCAGTACAAGGAAAAATTCTAATGAATGTTTGCCATCTTTCAATTTTTGTATCAATTGGCCTTACTATATTTACTCTTCAAACCTGTCTTCTTACTTTGTGTGTCATTCTTAAACTAGCCCACTGAACAGGAGACACAGCATTTGGAACAGAAAATCTAGCACTACAATCATACTAAATAGACTTTTAGTATTAAACTTCAGTCTCTCAAGAAACAGAATAACTTTGCTCAGTACATCCAGTGTACCAAATAAACTACCCTTATTTTAATGGCAATGGCACTTTTTAATCCCCTACTGTGAAACCTCCGCCTACTGAAAAGCATCTTGTTTCTTTAAGATCATTTAAAGACAAAATATTCAATAAAGGTTATCATCCAAAAGAATTAAAAATTAAAATCCTAAATCCTGGGAAATATTACCAAGCAATCTTAAATAGGAACAACTAACTTTTATTTATTTATTTATTTATTATCAAATTTATACCCCACCCTCCCCGCAAAGCAGGGGAATCATACCCAAACTTGGAATCATACCCATCCCATTTTTGTTTTAAAAAAGGCTGTAACAAATAAAATTAAACCTTGATTTCTACCATTGACTCTTATAACATATAAGAATTACAATCTTATGGGTTTTGATTAGGAATCACAGATTTTGGCTTGCTTTACTAGCCAGCCATAAATTTGTGGTTGCACTGATCCTCTCTCACAATCCTCTCTGCTCATAACTATGCCAGGTTTTGGAGTAGGCAGAAGTTGGTAGTCTCACACTGCTTCTGCCTACACTATGAGAAACTCTAAGTTCCAAAACATGTGAATGAGGTTAGCTCCAGGCTTCTAGCAGCACCAATTGGAATCATTCTCAGTGAGACCAACCTGATAAAATTTAGTAGGGTACCAGTACACTCGCAAGAGAGTTTGATGGCTAAGCCTTAGTCTTAAGTCCACTGAGGTGGATTTAACAGCTTTAGTGCAGTTGGCCAATGGGTCAATTGAACTGGAGTACTCAGTTCCAGGTTCCAGTGGGAGTGGATATAATCCAAATTTGATTTGGTGTCTTAGAAAATTATAAGGATAGGTTGCCTATGAAGGGTTTCTAAGGATGGAAGTAGGTGCAGAGGGGAGTTCCAAGGCCGCAACAGCTTCTGGTCCCAGAACAGAAGATAAACAATGTTTTAGTTGTATATATTGCCAACTGGCCATGGGACAGGATATTAAATTCTGTGGACAAAATGTCAAAGTCATCCTCTGGTCCAATTAGCTGAGATAAGTGAGATAAGTGTATAAAACTACAGAGAAACATTGTCTCCAAAAAACACCTTTATTCCCTATCCTAGTCGTAGAGTTTTCCCAAATTGTTAGATTTCTCTGAGTATAAGGGTCAAAAGCCGAGTGCCAATTATATCCAGGATCAATGTCACATTAGCTGCTAACTTAGACTTCACAGCCAATAATCTATTCCTAGGATATATACCAACTCTATTGGCAGTCTCAAAATACCACATATTTTGGATCCAAAGGGCAGCTTTAGTTGCTAAGTGAATAATTTTGCAACACTGGAAATCAAGTATCTCTCTCCGTAGATTTTGGGTCAATGATATATGCTAGACCTTTGTACAAAAGAGAGAACAGTATATAATAGCATGTAACAGGCAAGAAGCTCCCAGAACCTTTACCTCCATCTGGCTATGTTAACTTTTTAAAATGTGAAACCAATTAAAAAATCTTAATTAAAACAAATAAACTATTAGTTCCTTATAAAGAACTGTCCTGTGCAGGGCAGCATGAGAAACTCCTTACCACCTCCCTTAGCTGGGGAGGGGCAGAAGAGGTCTCACATCATGCTGAACAGGGACCTTCTTCCAAAGGAGCCAGGCTTGGCTTTTATTACTATTTATGCTAAATACCTGAGTAAGCAGAAATTATTTCACTTTCTAGATTAACCACTCCTATTATAACTGCCTCACTTCACCATTCTATAAAAATAGTTGAGGATGGGTCTATCAATATCTCTTTTATGCTGCAGGCTATAGGCTGTCATCAGACCAGGATTTTGTATAGTGGGTGGGTCCATCTGCCAAAATAAGCTGACACTATGCCTGGTGATCTGGCTACCAAGATGTCCCTGCAAAAGATAATAAAGCATGCATAACCAGGTGAAATAAGGGGGGGGGGGGGAGAAAGCCAGAATGACATATCATCTTGCCTTTACTCTTCACTTATGAACAGCTCTCTTCTCAAATCTTTCCTCTAGACAAGGTAAAACACAGAAAAAGAAAAAATAGGGAAGGAAAAGCAGTCTCTCTCTTCACCTCGCCCCCTTTCCTCATATTCTTATTCAACCTCCCTTTTAGTTTTCTATCTTGTTGCTTAAAGTAGTATAGGGAAGGTTTGACCCATTTGAGAACTTCTACCTTTAGAACACAGACATCCATACTCTATTCAGTTTCAGTTTTATAAAATGCCTCTTCATTTGTAATCTCAATATTTCTAAACTGGGTACACAAACATACCTAATAAAATGTGAAAAGTAATGTACAAGGTAGGCCTAACAACCATTTCAAATGGTTGAAATGGAATGCCTCAAATTCAGTCAGACACTCCTCTCCAGCTCATCATATTTCTCATGCTCGCTGTCTGACTCACTATCAATTTACATTCTTCTATCCCACTCTACATATTTGCTGCTTCAATGGAATGGAGGTTTCCTAGACAGATAGGGAAAATAAACTGCTCTAACTTAGAGGGAAGGTATTCCTGTTTCTCAGAAACAGATGTTGGAAGAACTCCTCATGTTAACTATAGGGTGACATCAGTCAAAATGGCTCAGAGAATATGAAAATTCTTTGATGATATCCTTTGGAGCCATGGTGTGTAAAGTGATGTCCACCGGAGCACCCAACAGCAGCAAAGTAATCTTAAAAATTCTAAAATGACAGCAAAGTTCTTGTTCTAATAGCAAAAGCAGTTCAGTGAGTGTTCACTATTCTGTTAGCACTTCCCAAGTCAGAGATTAAGGGCCAAACTAGACATAATGTTTGCAAATCTATTGGAGCTGCTGGGGTAGCCCCATGCCTGCACTTAGACTCCCTGGTGGTCCTCCTCAGTAGATCTCAGAGACTCAGTCACAAAGGCAACATGGGTTCATGTACCTGTGTCCTCCTGGCCCACCTGCACAATAATCTCACAGCCCTTCCTCTCTTTCGGAGGGCTTGAAGAAGCAGCCGGGGATGAGACCTTGGCCCCTGCCTGAGACAGGGACTTAAATAGGCCCTTGTATGCTCTATAGCTCCATTCCCCCTCTAGCTGCACTGAGTGCCAAGTGAGGGCTCCTGTGTACCCAACTGAAGGAGTTGATCACAGCATGTTTCCCTCCTTCTCACCATCTCACTGGGTTGCTGTTCAAATACCACTCTGGTTTTGTTGCTTTTTTTCTTTTCGTTTGTTTTACGTGTTAGCCATTTTGAAAGCTTACAAGCCAAAAATGAGAGATCACGGGAGGAAGTGGAATTCCCAAAAAAAATCCGTGACAAAAATAATGAAGAGTCAATAAAGATAAATTGCAAAAACGTTTACTGTAATAATTTCTGTAGAAAATTTTCTTCTATTATCACTCACACGCTAACGAATACTGCGCAATGAACAATTTGTGAATGTGAAGACCTTGGGTTCTGTTATTAGAGAGTCAACATGGAATGTTTCCTTCAAGAGTTGATAAGTAGTAATTGATAAGAAATGGGATTGCTACACGCTCAGATAAAGCAAATATTGTGAAACAAATTGTTCATTGCGCAGTATTCGTTAGCGTGTGAGCGATAATAGAAGAAAATTTTCTATAGAAATTACTACAGTAAACGTTTTTGCAACTTATCTTTATTGACTCTTCGATATTTTTGTCATGGATGTTGTTTTTGGAATTCCATTTTGAAAGCTTAGGCTGAAAGGCAGGAGAGAAATCCTTAAAAACACTGAAAAAGTTCCCTTTCCTGTCTGATCTGTCTGATCTGGCCACAAATAACTGAAAACTATACTGTCTCAGAAAGGTTTCAAATTATTTTCAGAGAGGACCTTGTGCTAGCTAAAGGCCAGTTCATACAGGTTAACTTCATGTGATCCCATGTAATTGAATAAGACTGCATGGACACATGAACTATAAAAACTCATGCTCCCTCATTGCAATGTCCATGTTCACAGAAGCTCTTCTGGAAGTTAAAGCAAGGGAAAAATGATAACATGAATAAATCTAGTAAATGCTGGTTCACACAAAATATATACACCCCTATCTGATCCTTGGACTGCCAGCAGTTATAACAACACAAAAAGTACTTGCTTTACAGTGTAAATCAGCTTTATATCTCAGTGACTCAGTCTTTGAATGTTCCTTAAGTAAGAACCACAATGTCCAAAAGTAGGAATATAATATTAAAGATATTAAACTAAGGAAGTTGGAAAATTCTTCATTGTTTGCAATTCACCACTGAAACATCATTCTCTATGCATGTTGCCCTGAGATAAAAAGGGAGGAATTAAAGTGTAAATAAATGAAAACATATTACTCCATACATCTGCAGCAGCATCAATACAGAATGTTTATTAGTAGCTGGTGTCCATCCCTTGGTTATTCTCTAGTTCCAGATCCAGGCCTATCACAATGCTTTTTCTTGTATGAGTGGGTTGCAGTGAATCCATTCAATGGTTTCCAATCAATAGGAATATATTTGCAGGACAGTGGTTGATAACCAGGAAAATATACAATATACTATAACCTATATAAATGGAACTGTATGATAACCTGCTTCAGGAACTGAAAAGATATTTCAGGACATTGATAACAATTCTTCAATCTACTTTCACAAGCACTGTTAAAACCCAGATACTCAATTATGCAGGTATTGCTAGAACAGATATAAGTAAACACTGTTAAAGCATTAAGTTTACTTACCAACTTCTGCAGGCAGGTGCTTGATTTTGTTCTCCCGTATACTAAGCATGGTGAGTATTAACAAGTTCTTGATATCCTTTTCCACAGCTGTGATACGATTAAAGCGCAGATAAAGTGTGGTAAGGGAAGTTAGCCTGTACACCACTGGAGGAATTTCTCTAAGTTTGTTATGCCGCAGATCGAGCATACGGAGTTGCTTCAAGTTATCAAGAGAGTCAGGCAGGCTGGTAAGAGAGTTTTCACTCAGGGCCAGTGTCACCAGATTCACAAGACAGCCCACCTCAGCTGGTAGTGACTGCAGTTTGTTACCATATAAATAAAGTTCTGTTAACTGTGTTAACTCTTTTACAGACGATGGGAGAAGGTGTATAGATCGTTTAGCCAAGTCCAAGCGCACTGAATTTTCTTCCCGGCATTTGTTTAGCTCTTTGATCACCTCAGCATTGCTGGATTTTTTGCGTGCGCCTGGTGCTGGATTAGGTCGCTTTATTGTATTGTCCACTGAAAAAGCCACACCCGGCTGCACACTGCTGGAGTCCTTCTTCCCATCTTTGGCTTCTTTCCCTTTGGTTTTAGGCTCCCTCTCTTTGCTTTCTTTCCCAAATCCACCCGTGGCCTTAGCTTCTTTCTCTCTCTCCTTTGCCGAAGACACTTTGGGGTCTTTTTCCTTACAATCTTTTTCTTTTCCAAGATTACTACTCATGGTTTCTCAGTTTAACCAACAGCACGTTAAATCTAATTTAAACCTTAGTTAACAAAGCTCAGTCAGCATCCAAGAAACAAGGTTCCCTAAAATGTTTCATTCACTGCTGACCATACATGGAGTTTCAAGAGACAAAAGCCTTGGCTTGAAGCAGCAAGTTTGGTGGTGCAGTAGCCATCTGCTACATGTTGATTCCAGAAGTACTCTCCCCCAGTTTTGGTATCTGGAGATCCAACTGTTGAATTTAGTTAATCAGAGGATCTTCATTAGAAGCGCTGCAACACAAAAGCAGAAACAGGCAATTATTAATGCAAACATTTCTTTTTTTCAGATGACAAGCTAAGGATTCATATACAAGGGCAGACATGGAATCATATCCTACAGTTTCCTTTCTGTTCAAATTCTGAAGAGCAATAAAAGCTACATTTCCTCAACAAACACTGCTGAGTAATATTAATCAGGTAATGCTGTTGCAACAAATGTGTAAAGCAACATCAAAAGCACACAGATCTATAGTCCTTAAAATGATCAACTGAAAAAGTTACAAGGTGACTGTCGTCCTAGGCTGCCAAGGGGGTTGGGGTCCACTCTCAGAACACTGGAATATGTCACAAAATGTATGGAGGTTCCAAACCATGCAGCCTCCTATTGCAGAGGCAGTTGTTTCCAAATGGATGCCTTCTGAAGCATTTCCTACTTCAGTGAATTGGGTGGATGTCAGGACTGGTTCTTTGCTTTGGAGGAAATGCAAGTGGATACCAGGAAATGCATCAGCAGGCACCATGCTGCTCACAGGGACAACAGTGGGGATTATTAATTTACAGCTATAAAGCTATTCACATACCAAATGTTCCATTGACTTTCTCTATGATTTCCACAGTAGCTCTTGCCAGATAAAAACTAAGGTGAAGAACAGTATTTCTAGATGATAGGGAAAGGGAAAAAAACCCTCTTTAGCCATACCACTTCACTCCTCTCAATTCTAACATCTACTTTCATTCTCATATTCAAAAGTGTACGGCTTATGGTCAATGCAGTTTTCACTCATGAAACTCGTCAAAATAGCTATTTTCATAAGTCACTCAGTAAAATGACACAAATCTAAAGGTCTGAGGTTTGAGTCATATTCAGTAGATAACATATGACTGGCTAAAGTTAGCAGGGTTGAGACTTAAAAAAACAGCACTTCCTGCCCTGACTTTGAATTTGCTTCCTGTAGATGTCGTACCATCACGTTTGATACCTGAGTTGCTGGGAAAGAGGACAGAGAAGCGGGGGTCAGTCTGTGGAGAATGGCAACAAAGCAGGAGTAGAGAAAACCTATTGTTGTGAACAGTGGTAAAGTAAGAAAAGTTCAGCAATCTTTTTTTCAGGAAGCATTTTGAGCCTTCAGACCTCACTTTCTTTCCTCAAAATGTTTGCAGGTGAATATTCAGTGTATCTCTTTGCTCAAGCTTGCTAAACTTTTTATTTATTTATTTATTATTTATTTGATTTGTATCCCACCCTCCCAAAGGCTCAGGGCAGCTCACATGTGGCAAAGCCGAGATATAAAATACAATAAAACATATAATAAAAAACAACATTTAAAACCACAGTAAACTCCATCCTATAACACAGTGCTGTGCCTATATTAGTCATCCAAGATGGGAACACCACCCAAATTTGGCGGCCAGCTATCTCAGTAGCGCGGTCTCCTGCTACGCTGTTTATAAACTTCTGCCAGGCCACGCTCACCCCCCTTTAGTAGGGCAGCCGATGACACACTACCTCGGTGGTGGGATAGTGGCGGCAGCGGCTCCTACTCAAAAGCCTGGTAGAAGAGCTCCGTCTTACAGGCCCTGCGGAACTGCACAAGGTCCCGCAGGGCCCGGATCTCCTCTGGGAGCTCATTCCACCAGGTAGGAGCTGCCACCGAAAATGCCCTGGCCCTAGTATGGGCAAACTTAATCTCTCGGGGGCCTGGAACTACCAGGAGATGGAGACTCCCCGATCGTAGTGCTCTTGAGGGAACATACGGGAAGAGGCGGTCCTTCAGGTAAGCCGGACCCTGGCCATTTAGAGCTTTAAAGGTAAGAACCAGCACTTTGAAGCGAATCTGGTATGCTATTGGCAGCCAGTGCAGCGCTTGCAGCCCAGGCCAAATATGGTCACGCCCAGAGAGGCCCAACAACAGCATGGCCGCAGCATTCTGCACTAGCTGCAGCTTCCGGATTTGCGACAGAGGCAGCCTTAAGTAGAGAGCGTTACAGTAGTCAAGCCTCGAGGTGACCGTCGCATGGATCACAGTGGCCAGGTCTTTGCGGTCAAGGTAGGGGACCAACTGCCGAGCCAGCCGCAGATGATAAAAGGCCGCCCTGGCAGTAGCTGCTACCTGGGCCTCCATCGTCAACAAGGAGTCCAGGAGCACCCCCAAACTCCTAGCTTCCCGCAGAGGCACCAATGGCACCCCGTCGAAGAACGAGAGCCCCAACCCCAGACCGGTCTGACTCAGGCCCAGGACCTCCGTCTTTGCCAGGTTTAATTTCAACCGACTCAGCCTGAGCCAACCAGTCACTGCTTGCAATGCCCGATGAAGGTCATCGGGACCAGAGTCCGACTGGCCGCCCAGCATCAGATAGAACTGGGTGTCATCAGCATATTGATGACACCCAAGCCCACACCTCCGGGCAATCTGGGCGAGGGGGTGCATATAGATGTTAAACAACATAGGGAACAACAGGGCTCCCTGGGGCACCCCACACTCAAGGGGATGCCTTCGGGATCGCTGGTCCCCAATTTTTAACTGTCAACGAAACAGACAGGAATCCAAACTAACAAGGAGAGGAAAATCCTGACATATTTCTAACATCAGGATTTTTATTTAAGTGAGATCCCTTGTTGACAGTACATAAACCTCCATGTTCAGGGCCCAGGGGCAGCATAACTCCAGTCTAGTAGCAAATGCTGGAAACAAACAGCAAAAAGCCATCATGTTCATGCCCTGCTGGCATGCAGTGTTCCAGAGACATATGGCTAGTCACAGCTGGAAACAAAATACTCAATTAAATGGAGTCAAGTTCTTATCTCCACAGTATAAAATTCTAAGAAAAAATACTTATGTAACAGACTTCTAAAGAATAAACGGTTACCTAACATGCAAATTCACCAGGAAAACTCCAATAAATTGTAACTCATTTGAGGAAAGGTACAGAGTACACTATTTAAGATTTTTAATTTTTAAACACCCAAGCTTGAGGAAAAGGAACCAGAAGAGAAATGCTGAAATACTCTGTGTAGAACAGCCACACACAGTCTGTGAGTTACTAGTGTAACACCACAAACTTAAAACCTGTCTGAAAAACACTAGTAACTCAAGTCAACAACACAGCGGCTTTCCCCTGCCTACTTTTGTATTGCCCCCAGTTGAGGCCACCCACACCTATCCTTCTAATTCCTGCATATTTGGTGGCCGATACTGAACCCAATTCAGTATTTGAAACAGAATTAATATGAATGCTGTCATACTTCAAGATCTAAGTTTAGACTTTCAATAGCCATGTTACACTAAATGCAAATAATTTTGTCTGCAAATTGCAGAAATTCTGTCATAGCAGACAGTGCTTAGCTCCAGTTCCTGGTGGAGACAGCCAGGATTTATCAGGTCTGTCACAATAATTTCTCTGGCCAGTATGCTCACTTCATATTTTAACAAGCAATCTCGGAGACAATATTCAGATAGCAATTCTTTTGTTCTCACTTCTGGCAATTGGAAACAGTCTGTACACCAGCAGCCTCTGCCCATGCAGTGCCACGGTATGTATAATTTTGAGTTCTCTATCAGTGTTGCCATGGCAGTTTGCAGTGTAGTGCAATTCTGCATAATCTGATAAATCTGAAAGCCATAAATTGCTATGAGTGATGGTCGAAGCTCCTATCTGATAACACCCACATTTCAAACATGCTAGCAAAATTGACATTGTTGATAGATGGAAAATATGAGAAGGGATAAGTGGCTTTGGAAGCCATTTTATAATAGCACAGGTTAAAGCCAGAGACATATATAAGAGCACAGTGGACAAAGCTAAATGCTGGTTCATAAAAGAAGATTCTTTCTCTGTGCAATCTTATCCCCACACACTGGATCATTGAAAAGTTCAAGATGTTCACTGATGATACAAGAATTTATTATGAAGAAATTCCTGTCACAACTGTAGCACTTTTTGAAGCCACTGAAGCCACAGGAATTTCCATAAGGAGAACATATGTACTAACAGTATACACAATACACAAGAGTTTCTTTTTTACTGTGTAAACCAGACCTAAGTATACATGGCATGTGCTGTTCTTCATGAACAGTGTTCAGAATCTTAAACCACTTTTAGATCAAATTAATGTACACCATTTTGAAAATGTAGTCTCAACACACCTGTAGATTATTATAAAATTTATTAAGAGCTGATTAAATAACATAGTAGCAGACCTACAAGGAATTATGTTAGGACATGACTTCCCTAGACCACAGGATCACAAAAGGCTATCAGAAAATTAAATAACTTACTAGGTAGCATCAATTGCCTTTCCTCTGCCTTCCTATTTAAGTTGCTACAATCCCCACCCCTAATGCCATTCATTTATGCAGAGCAGCCTTGGCCTCTTAAGGAGTGTAAGATTTCATTACTTTCACCACCTTCTCGTTCTGCCCCCAATTAGATTCTCAAAAATCACAAGATTACGTATCTTAAAAAGTAAATATCGAATTTATTTCTAGATGAAACAAGGAAGTAAATTCAGTGCAAGCCTGAACAACAAGTAGAATATCTGTATAATAATACAGCATAAAGAGCCAAGGCTGACACAAGAAAAGAAACACCTCTCTCACTATCCTCATTATATATACTTTTTAAATAAATACACACACACTTTCAGTTTAAAAAAGAGGAGTATCTTTAATGTTAGAACAGTTAACTCACAGGTGTCTGAGTGCCTGGGGGGAGGTGTCATTTTATTGTTGATGCTATTTCTGGTGGTTGCATTTTACTTAACTGCACACATCAACGGTTAAAGAGCTAATTTATTTCCCAGTCTATGTTTTGGGGAGTAATCGCATGCCATAAGTTGGTGGTATCTTTTTGTATGGTCATAGGGAATCCTTTTCAAATGGCGTTTGAAGCATAAAAAAGCAGTGTATTGTATTTCTAAGTGTCACATTTGAAATAATTATCGTGTCTGATACATTAAAAACCATACATTAAAAACCAAAGTGTGAAAAGGAGACTGCATAGCCAAATATACA